CCCGTCCCATGGGGGAGGGTGGGATAGAAACCATGGGATTAGTATCCCATGGGATTATTTTGTGAAATGTCCATTTTACCCTCCATGCTATTACTTAGCAAACAATTAAAAAAGGATAAAATAGTCTTTTGAACATTTATAAATTATTTTTTTAGTGTTGTTAATTTAAAATTATATATTAAATAAAAAAATTTAATTATAAACTATAAATTATAAATTTAATTTAATTAAAAATAATAAATTATAAATTATGGCCCTATAAATTAAATTTTTTTAGTGTTGTTAAAAAATTAAATTTACATATTAAATTAAATTATTTTTTTAGTGTTGTTAATTTAAAATTATATATTAAATAAAAAAATTTAATTATAAACTATAAATTATAAATTTAATTTAATTAAAAATAATAAATTATAAATTATGGCCTTATAAATTAAATTTTTTTAGTGTTGTTAAAAAATTAAATTTACATATTAAATTAAATTATTTTTTTAGTGTTGTTAATTTAAAATTATATATTAAATAAAAAAATATAAATGTTAAAAATATATTAAAGCTATGTTTAATATTGCTATTACTTAGTAAATAATTGAAAAGGATAAAATAGTCATTTGAGCATTTATCATTCTCCATAATATCCCAAACAAACATTGGATAACTAAAAATAATGCAATCCAGACATCTAATTCCATGACTAAACAAACCTAGGATACAAATTTAGTCTAACTAAATAGTCCCAGGATAATGTATCCCAAGACTAATAGTCTGATGGATTACAATATCTTCTTATCTAGTCCGTCCAAACAAACACACCCTTGTTATTATCATAATACACTGGCATTTCATATTGAACAAATGGCTGATTGTTCAGTTCTTTCCATTCGTCACAAATGGCATAACTCTTGAGTATATAATCAATGATTATCAAAGAATCATGTCAATATATCTTTATTTAATTTTTAAAAAATAAGAAAGAATTTAAAATTCCAAATTACCTAACTATGGTAAATTATTGATTTTGGATTTTAATGACATAATTGTTGACACCCTATTTTGAGCCGTCCTAAGACTTGTGTTCTTTTTTTTGATTACTTGATGATAACAATAAGAATGTGATTTCCATAAAATCTTTAGTAAAAAGATGAAATTTGAGCTTTGTTCCTAACTTTAAGCTTGTTTTGGCCAAGTGTTTAAACTCCGTCAGACAACCGAAGAGAAACTGGACTGAATCGAAGCAAAAAGGAAAACTTCCTCTCTCTGACTAGTTGATCACCCAGTCGTTTGCTCTAAAGATAATGTAGTCCAAATTTTTGTTGGTTCGGGTTAGGGACTTCACAACCCCATTTTTTGACCCATTTTTACACCAAATATATGTATACTCAGTCTCTATTGCTTAGTGCTTGCTTCATTGAAGATAATGCTTCATTTTAGTACTCTATTGGCTCCATTATCTTCATTAATGCTCTATTAATCTTCCACTTTGTCTTTCATCATTTCTCTACTTGTATTTGCCTATATGAACATATTAGATTGTGGAGGACTAAGAGATGGACTAGAGACTAGAGAGAGGAGATGAATTTGATAGAAGAAGTGTAGAAAGAATGATGAGTTTGAATTAAAGAAAAGAAAACTTTGAAAACAAGAGAGTTGTTTTGCTAAAATAGAGAAGTTACCTAGCTTCTACACATCTCATCTTTCCTTGCAAAAATCACTCAAGAACCAAGTTTTAAAACTTTAATCAAAGAGGGAGTAATCATTGCCAAAGTTGAAGAATATTAAAGAGTGATCATACACTTATTCGAAGACACCAATCTAGCTCAAATTCCAAGCTTTTTGAATTGAGAATTGATAACACAATTCACAACCTTGAGGGTGATCAAACAAAAATTTGGAAATCAAGAAGTTCATTATTTCTTTGGAAGATGAATTTTCAATTTCTTTCATTTTCTATCTTATATTTGTTTTCTTTCTTTACTTTCATATTAGTTTGTTATAATCTAACTGGAAATGGTTAATTCAGTCACTTACATATTTCTTATTTATTATTTTTCGGTGTTGCAACAAGACAGGTTTTGCTAGACCTAGTTGGCCGGCTAGCCAATTTGGCTGGCCAGTTAGCTTCTTTTAGACGAAACAGAGTAATTTTTCAATGTTCGGCATGACGATTTCTGGTGGTCTCCAAGGCGCATAAAACTATTATTTTCTTTTCATTTGAGAGTTTTGTGGGGATTTTTTTTTTAATTTTTTTATTTTGTTGTAATAATTTCCTTCTCCATCTCTAATCTGGTTTATAATTATTTATTCAAAGTGTTATAATAATTCATTGTCTTGTTTCTTTTTATCCTGTTCTTTTACTTGCTTTCCTTATTTGTACATAAGCATCATATTTTGGTTTTTATTATATCTATGCTTTGCATCTATGTTTTCATGTATCATGATTCGAGTAAGTTTGCATCTATGGATTAAATCAATTCTCATTTGATTATGTGCGTTACCTCATATTCTTGAGATGATTCACATGTCATATATTAGAAACTGAGTCTTTAGTTGTATCTCATGAGTGAATTGCATTAGGATTTTGTATATAAGGTCATGCATATTTTGCTAATTTTGTTTTGTAACTGTCCACAGGACATCGGTAAATATGTAAGTTTTTATGTTTTGACATCCCGTTTGTGTGTGTGTTTTCTTACTATGTTTAGCATCCTATTATGAGGCTACTTGTTTACTTGATATAACTATATGAATACTAGTGGATGAAGGTTATGTCGCTTAAAATGATATTGATTTTTATGTTTGTAAACTCAATTTCTTTGGGTTGTACATCTTCAAAACATTTCCAAAATACATGAAATCAAATTGTTCCAAAATGAATGGTAGAGTCTATACTTGTTTGCTTTACATAGTAAATTTTAAGATTTATTACTAATCGGAATATGATATATAAAGTAAATAAAATTTATATCATGATTTAGTAGAGGCTGATCTTTGATCGGGTGAGTGGGGGATCCTCAATTAATGACATTTTCCTCTCATACCTAAGATTTCGAGCCAAGCATCTTTGGTTGTGACGAACAGTGGCCTTGGCACAAGTCACGAGTTTTCTAATTTTTTCAGAATATTAAGTGGCGACTTTAAAATTTGGTGATGTAGTCCATTTTGGTAAAGACTTTGTAAAAAAACCATTTTTCTATAAAAGTTATCAAAATCTGAACTCTCATTTATATTTCATTTTGCATTCATGAGAGTAGATCAAAGAAATCGAGGGTCTGAACTATTCAACTTGCACAGGTATCCCTCGAGCATGTTACAATATTGCAACCTTATAAATTGTAATAAAAAGTGTTTATATTTGAATATCGGATGCAAGTGATGGAAATGTACAAGAAAGCTAAATTTTCTATACAATTCGTGTCATGAGGTAACTTGCCTTAATATTTTTTTTTTTGGGTCAAAAAACAAAATATTTTTGTAAAAGTGGCCAATTATTATCTTAATTTTCAATTTATATTTGAATATCCGATTTGAGTGATGAAGATACACAAGAAAGTTAAATTTTCTATACAATTCGTGTCACGAGGTAACTTGCCTTAATTTTATTTTTATTTTTGTTAAAAAAAGTGTTTTGTAAAAGTAGCCAATTATTATCTTATTTTTCAATTTTTTTTTTAAAATCTCATAAAAATTACATACTAACCAAATGAAGAAAATATAATTACCATTATTTTATTTTATTTTCCAATGTGTTTTTTTTATTCTAATCAAAATGGACCCTTAGATAGCTGGGGATGGATTTGAGCTTTCTTCATTTTTTTGAGCACGAAAGCTTCCAGTCTTTGGGCTTAGTTGGGTCCATCAAGGGAATGGTTTTTCATTTGGGCTTTCTTCCAGATACTATGGTGAGTCCAATAAAAGCATGAGAGTATGACATCATTTGGGCCCAAAATTAACAACAATATTACAAACCTATCATTTGGGCCCAAAATTTCATGAACCTAGATTTCATTAATTTAATCTACACGGCGCAAACCCATTCAGGATAAATGGTAAATTCTTAAGAGTGCATAGCATTTTTTTAAAATTAAAAAGGCAAATTTTAATTTTTACTTTTATAAAAAGTTATAAATATTCTTTCAATTTGATAGAAAACAATGTATCCAAAAAAATTATAAAAATACCAAATTTTAAGAATTGCTTTTAAAATGTTTTTTTCGTTCCTTCCAAGTTATGATTTGTTCGCATGCAAATGAAAAACAAGGGTCTTTTTAAAAGTTTTATTATTTTTATTTCTAAAATGAAAAGTGAAACACAATACAAGAGATCCACAATAATGGACTGTTTGTCAAATACTTATTTTTTTTAATAAATTAAATATTTGTATTCACAAAAGAAAAAAAGAAGTTTTAATTAAAACACTCTAAGATTATCTTTAATCCAGATTCAACATTTTCTTATCAAATTTAAATTTGATGAAAATTTGGCAAAAACGATGTTCCAAACCGTTGTACCAAATTGGTATAAAATGAAGGAAGCCTAACTTTTTTCATAAATTAATGGAGCGTTTAATCTTTTATCAAATCTTACAGGTAATAGTTGGTGGACGACTGGATGGATGACCGGTCGGTCAATCGAATAGACGATCGACTTGGAAAAAATTTGCAAAAAAATTTATACTAAGCTAATCGACCTCTCGGACATCCTCCTAATTGACTAGTTGTTGGATGAAAATTAAAAATTTAGTGTTGGAACACTTGATATCAGATAAAAATTTTAACCCAAATTTTCAATCAAATTTGATAAAAAAAGAGTAAGCGTTGTAGATGCTCTAACATATAAAAATAATTATTTCGAATATTATTTTTAGTAAATATTGAAATATATATTTTGACTAAAAAATAAAAATAAATAAAAATGAGTTCGTCTCTTTTTTTACAACATTAATTATTTTTATTTTTATTAAAAAAAAAAAAAACAAATTTCTTCAAAACAAAAGTCAACACTCCAACTGAACTAGAAAGAAGATCAACGACTCTCGCTTCGGTGCTTCCAATCGTCTTCATCTTCAACCTTCCCCAACCTAATAGAAACATATACATGCATATATAGGGAGAGAAAACAAGAAATATGAGTATATCCAGAGAGAGAAGACTATTCTAATTCATCAGTTTTTCATTATGACATCTCTCAATTAAGCACCTAGGGTTCTCCGCCACTTCATCTACTCTGTGCACAGTCGAATTCTACACTGTTCTTCAATGGCTGTAGACGAAGATGCCGAACAAGAATACGTGTCTCAGAAGAAGAAAACCGCTTCTGATGACGATAAAAGGTCTTTCTTTGTCTTCTTTCCTTTCGAATTTCAATTTGTGCTTCGTATTTGAAGACTTACATATATGTGTGTGTGTATTTGTGTGTTTTGATGTATTGGATAAGCAGGAAGAAGAAGCTTGTGCCTGGAGCTTTGATGAAAGCTGTGGTTAGGCCTGGTGGTGGCGATTCGACACCCGCCGATGGTGATCAGGTGGTTGTTATTACAATTGAAGCTGTTTCATTGTGAATGATTGAATTCATTTTGATAATTGTTTTCAGCTGATTGCTTTTTGATTTAAATTTCTTGTGGTTGAATTTTTGTTCTGTACTGTTATTATCTATATTGTGGCACTTTTGTTTTTGCAGGTCGTGTTTCATTGCACGGTTCGGACTCTGGATGGAGTTGTTGTTCAGTCTACAAGATCAGAATTTGGAGGTGAGTTCATTCTAGGCTTCAAGTATTTGTGCAATTAAGCTAGTTTGTTCTTCACAGTGGAAGATATCTGACATATATCTTGTTTAAGCTAAAAAGCATGGACACGGACATGACATGCCAATTTTCAAAAAATACATGACACAACACGTGGACACACATGAAATGTATAATTTTATATATTTATCATGTCATATATATATATGAATTTATCATTCAAAAATAATAAAAAAACGCAATATGACACTTATTTTTATAAATTTATATGAATTTTCTTTAATTATTGTATTTTTTGTTCAAACTTATAATTAGTTTCACTAGTATCCAATTGATAGACACGTGTTTAAGCAATGGACACTGTGTCTTCCACGTGTCCGAAGAGTATCCCGGTCTTTAAAAAAATATTAAAAATAGGATATATTTTGACGAGTGTTGGACACGTGTGCAAAGAGTGTCAATCTCCGACAAAGAAACGACACGGATACGTCATATTCTTGGAAGTGTCCGTGCTTCTTAGTATTTATTGAAACCATGATGTTCATGTGAAAATGCTTTTGATTTTTCTAGTTGTAATGTTGTTACTTCATCCTTGTAAACAGGCAATGGTACCCCAATAAGGCTTGTTTTGGGGAAAAGCAAAATGATACTGGGACTGCTAGAAGGGATTCCCACAATGCAGAAGGGTGAAATTGCAATGGTAACTATTTGGGAACTGTTTGCATAGACATTAAAGTTTTGGAGAAAAATATAACTGCATTCTTTGTCCATTTTATTTCTTACAAGGTTACTAGAAAATATATAAATTACTGTTTCACTTGGTCGAACATTGTTTACCCCCAGGAAGATGACAAGGAGGTGGGGGGGGGGGGGGGGGGTGTGGCAGGGAATGGTAGGAAAGGTTGCCATGGTGCAGCTCTTTTTGTCCCACCACTGTAAATAATTGCTGCACTGTTGATTAAATGTTATACATTTTTCATTGACATCCTTAAAAAGTAGAGAGAGAGAGAGAGAGAGAGTAATTGTTAATTGTTTACAGTTCATATTTTGGTTTTATTCAGTTAGATTATTGTGAATATTATCTATAGTAGATGTTTGTTGATGGCTCTATTTAAAATAACATTCCTATTTACTTGAACCTCTTCTATTAATTGAAGAATTGTAATATACTGTAATATGCTTGAGATATCCTTTTCTACTAAGAATTAGTGAATACCTTGGTTTGTTGTCCATTTGCACTTTTCCATAAGGTAGGATTTACCAATGCTTACTCTCCCACTGAACGACGAAACAGCACAGGCTAATATTAGTTCTTGTTAGCATGGAACAGAAAACCAAAGGAACACCATTCTTATCTAATCAAATAACTCTTTTTCTTTTTCTTTTTCTTTTTTTGAATTTTCTTTTTCTTTATTATTGTTGATCAATAACAAGGAAATTTATTAAGTTCCCCGAAGTAAATTTTTATCTCTGGTGGGCATGCCACACATTTTCTCTATGTGCTTTTCGATCGCACTTATTCTGATGATTTATAAGTTATGCTGTTTATTATTTTATTTACTCCTTTTTTTGAGGTTTTTAACATATTTTGATGTACATCTTATTTCAGCTCAAGATGAAACCTGAACTGCACTATGGTGAGGAAGATTGCCCTGTTCCAGTTTCTGATAGCTTTCCAAAGGATGCTGAACTTCATTTTGAGATTGAGCTGATAGATTTTTCTAAAGTCAAGGCAAGAATATTACCTACTTAACTCTTAAATTTGGAGGTTACCTCCATCTCTCCATGAGCACCCCCACTTCTGCTTATTGGTAATTTTGTCTTTTTTTTTGGTGTAATTCAGGGCTGACATTTCTTCTTCTTCTTTTAATTTTTTTTTTTAATACATGAGAATATTTTCTCGCTTAATCATTTTCGTGCTTAATATGATATGGTGTTCTGAGATCTGTTGTTTTGGCCCTACTACACTATGTCAAAACTGCCTTGTCGTTCTCTGATTGGTTCCATTTGTTGGGTCCAATTTTTTTTTATTATATTTATTTACAAATTTAGAGTCTAATTTGCTTGTTGGGTTCCATCTTTGTCATTTTGCTTGTTGTTAAGGGGACTACAGAATTAGATTGGCCTGTGGGATGAACTCATAAAATTGTTAATAGTTCGTTGTTTTCTTTCTTAACTTTTATTCCAAAATACTGATCCCTTTGCTAGTCTTCCTAACTAGAGTCTGATTGTAAAATATGTTCCATAAATTTATGAATTTTCTTTATTCAGGTTATAGCTGTGTCTTTAAAAGATTTGCAACACAACTGTCTTCACCCATTGCTTCCTTTCCACTTGGGGAGTTTTCCATAAGGGTGTAATAGTTTTAGCTTTAACCTTCAATTCTGTGTCCTATTTTTCAGGTCATCAGTGAAGATTTGGGAGTTGTGAAGAAGGTAATATGCTGCATTATTCATTTTACTTCTCATATGGTGGAAGGGGTTGTTATATGGATGTGAATTGCATGTATTTGAAATACCAATTTATTAGGAGGATTCTGGATGATTCAGTATGGGAGAGCTCCAATAATAATATTGTCTCGATAATGAGTTTATAATCAACTCAATTGTTTGTCCTTTGGACGCTGAATGCTAAATTACCTTCATATAATAATCTCTTTAGGTGCATTTGAAACCAATGTCAGGAACCTATAAAACTTGTTTCAGAAAAGAAATTGAAAAAATATAAACTTGAAACTAAAGGCAATTTTACAAGGTGTGCATGAGAGCTTATGTATCATTAAGCGCAAACTAATGAAACGGATTTTCGTTACAATGGTATATGGCTTATGTTAAGAATATTATCCATTCTTTGTTTCAGTTCCAGAATATATGATGAACATAACTCCATTCATTTGGATAGGTAATAAAAGAAGGGAAGGGTTGGGAGTCACCGAGGGAACCTTATGAAGTAAAAGCTTGGTAGAAACTCTTCTTCTTTCTTGTAATTCTTTTCCTTTTTTTAGTGTTTGACTGCATGTTTAATGATCCAGGATCTTGGGCACAAAATATTATTGAGCTTTTCATTACTTATGTTTGTTTCCAGGATTTCTGCAAAGACGGGGGATGGAAAATTGATTCTATCACTTACTCAAGAAGAACCGTTTTTCTTTACTTTTGGAAAGTCTGAGGTTGGTAATTCATTCCTGCACATTTTTTTTTCTCTTTTATTTTCTTCTCTCCTTTTTTCCCCCCCTTCTCCCTCAGTGTATTACTGGTACTCTTTATCTTTCTCTTCAAATACTGCTCTCATATTAATTTCTTGGATAAACTGCAAGTCAGGAGTTGTTTCTTTCCTGGATCCCTGCTGATTTGTGAGGTTGATATAGTTGAGCAGGTTTCTTTTGGTGGATGTGGAAATTACGCATGTTTACCTTTGGTAGACTGTTGTGTTAATTTTTTGTTCGTATGTATATTAGGTACCTAAAGGTCTTGAGATGGGAATAGGAACAATGTCACGGGGAGAGAAGGCATTAATTTACGTTGCCAACAAATACTTCACTGAGTCTCCTTTCATGCCTACAGTAGAAGGTATTGAAGAGGTTCATTTTGAAGTGGAGCTGGTTCACTTTATTCAGGTTTGCTTGGTTTCTTGGGCAATATGAATTTTGGTTCTGGTTCATTTTATTTCAAATCTAGTGCAGTTAACGAGGTGAAATACTTGAATGGTGAGCTTTTTTACGACACAAGGGATATTTTTAGATGATAAGTACATTTTTTTTTTAGATAGAAGATGTTAAGTATTTATTTAATTAGGAACCATATATGTGTAAAAGAACATGTTAAATTTATGCTAAAGTAAAATAAATAGTGTAGTAACAGAAAGAGTTGAAGTTCAGGTTTCTTTTCTGTAGTCAAGTTGTTCAGGATTGTTCTAATTTACCTGGTTACTCATTTACAGGTGCGGGACATGCTTGGAGATGGGCGTCTAATAAAACGTCGTATTCGTGATGGAAGAGGTTTTGATTAAACTTTAAATTTGACCTTTAATATTCTGTGTGGACTCAAGTATGGTGCTTTTCTTAGTTTTATTCTATGCTTGTAATTGGGTTTTAACTAGACATGGTTTTGGTAGTATTTTATGAGAATGGTGATTTTAACATCATGTTAATCCTTTTGGATTCCCTTTTCAAAGGGTGTATGTTCTCTGGGAATTTCATTTAAATTATTGGTGAAGGATGATCTATAGTTACACAAGACAAGATTTGAATTTCTGTTTGGTAATGATACTATTGCGCTATTTTAGGCACCTCACATTAATGTCAATAGTATTGCACGTTAATATTCTGCCATATCATTGATGCTTGCATTGAAACATGACTTTTTAAATGTTTTTATACATTTTACCTGCTTTTAAACTACAATAATTGCAATAATACTAGCAAGTGCATATTTTCTAGATTCATATAGAATAAAGGAAAACTAGATTTCAAAAGATAAAAGGTTTGCTTGCGATGTGCAGGTGTGAACTTGTTGAAAACTGCATTGTCATGATCCTGTTTGTGGATGTTTCAAATGGATTTGATATGTGACCAGATGACAGGGTAGAATTAAGTTAAACCGTTATTCTTACGGGGGATGGGAATTGAGAGTAGGCCAGTCAAAAGGGTACACATCACTCCATGATGTCTCTGTTTAGATTCTCTTTATCTACTGTAATATTTTTGCGCTTTAAAGAGTTTGATTTCAGTAGGAAGGCAAAAACAAGTTCACTCAAAAAAAGGAGCAGCAGACCTTGGATTTTTCTTTTCTTTTCTGTTTTTAATTTTTAAATACTAATGTATGAAAATAATGTACCAAGATCACATCTAGGTATGGATTTCCTGCTGTTTGTTTTTATCTTCCTTTCTGTTTAGTGGTGAAAGAAAGCAGTTCTGGACCAAGTCTGTAGAGACGTTAGTCATGTCACAATATGTCTGTGATTACTTCTAGAGTAGACTTTGTTTGTAACAGCCTATGCCATGGTCATGAGCTATATAATATGTGACAAAATATCTTTTAATTGTTGCCACTTTTTCATGGGATCTATGAATGAGCATTTTATCAAAGCTATTTACTGGTGTGCCTGTTATTCTTTTAGAAGTTTCAGTTGTGTTGAAAATTGTGTGACAGGATTCAAATTGATTTCTCAACAATGTTTTTTTAAGAAGCTATTTTTGGTATGCTGGGCTGTTTTTCTTCGTACTCATTACATGAATCTAATATTTGCATTTTTAATAGTTAAAGTATTTGATGTTTCATTGTTTTCCTATTCATTGAAATAATTAGGTGAATTTCCTATGGATTGCCCCCTTCATGACAGTCTACTACGTGTCCATTACAAAGGCATGCTTCTTAATGAGGAAAAGACGGTCTTCTATGATACAAAATTTGATAATGGTGGTCAGCCTTTGGAATTCAGCTCTGGAGAAGGACTCGTGAGTTGTTTATTTTTTTGTATAGGAAGAAGAATTAATATTGTGCTTTTGATTTTGTGGTTATGGTCAAAAGTAGAACTGATTAATTTATCAAGTTAAAAGTGGCCAAGCAGCCAGCAGAATATGGAAGTTATATGTTAATTGTAGGGGACCAAGTTTTTATGTTAAATCTTGATTGGAAAATGGTCTAGGTTTTCTTTTTTTTTGGGATCCAAATGATTGCTTTTTAGATGGAGATAGTGATTGCAGACCTTTTATGCCTTTTTATTTTATTTATATGACTAATATTAAACGGACTTCTCTTTTGTATGATAGGTGCCTGAAGGACTTGAGATGTGTGTTCGTTTGATGTTGCCTGGAGAAATAGCTCTTGTAACATGCCCCCCTGATTATGCATATGACAAATTTCCAAGGTTATCCTTTCAAATATAGTTTTCCTTTTATTCTATATCTGCATGTGATATGCATAAAGTGTGGGTTCATAAATTAACTACTTCATGATGATGAGGATGATCACCACCACCACCACCACCATCATCATGATCTTTTTCTTCATTGGTTCTTAACTAATTTCAAGATTTGTTCTCACTTCTTTCCATATGATAGGCCTGCTAATGTTTCTGAAGGTGCTCATGTTCAATGGGAGATTGAACTTCTTGAGTTTGAGACGCCGAAGGTAGCCTCATTGATACAATTGGCATACAGAAAGTATAAAAGAGAATTTATTTATTTTTGAAGCATCCAAGTTTAAGAATTATTAATATGTGGCTGTTATGTTGCATTCTTTGGGTATTTGAGTTTATTGGAGTTTGAAAATAAATTTTCAATTTATTTATGGTTATTTTTCTGCAGTAGAATGAAAGTTGAAGATGGGTTAACTATGGGTGTAACTTAGGTGTGTTGAGCCTAATGCAACTGACCAGGATGCTGAGACATCCTAGACATAGGCTTTGGTTTAATTCCGTACATAACATACATGGCATTCAGAAGTTTTCCGTTGCACAATATTTGCATGGTCGCCACTTCACTATCCAGTTTTCATGTCAGAGCATGATATGCTTGCCTGTGACCAACATATAGGAGCTGGATATTTTGGTGTACCTAGCTATTAGATTTCATCTGTTAACTAAAACATAATATAAGGCTTAGGCCACGTTTGTTTAGTGGATTAGGTTGGATGAGATTGTTAGTGAGATGATGGTTAGTGAAGAGATTGTTAATGTGGGGATTGTTAGTTAGAGAATTAAGTAAAAATGTGTTTGTTTTGATAATAGTATGGGAGATAGTTAGTGATGCGATTGTTAAATTATTTTTATATAAAATAAATAAATAAATTATTTTTATATTAAAAAAATTAAAACAAACAAGTGCACTCGGTAAATTTTTTTTTTTTTTTACGTAAAATAGACTCAATTCCCTCACTATTTTCCTAATCCCACCCAAAACCTAGTCAATCTAACCCCCCTACTGAGGGGGATTACTAAACCCCTTGGACTATCAATCCGCCCTCCCATTTTACTACCAAACATGCTGTGGGTGGGGCCCACAGCCATGGTAGTCTAATCCGGCCACTCAAGCTGCGAAACAAACATGGCCTTAATGTCAACCTCAGCTGTCAGCCGCACTTGCAACTTGTCTTCTCTTTTATAGTTTTGTGCCTGATCAACTCTCTAACGTATAGGGAGTGCTATATTTGGTCCTTAGGGTTGGTTTGGGACGTAAGTTGGCTTTTTGGCTTTTTTGGCTATTTTAGCCTGGGCTAAAAAGCTTGGTTTGGGAAGGGTTTTTGGCTTTTTGGCTTTTTGACTTTTTTTGTGAGAGAAGAGTGTAATGATTATAGGTTGGATGTGATGTTTTGTTTTTTGTGGCTAAAATAGCCTATTTTGTCTGTTGTGACTAAAATAACCAAAAAAGCCCAATCTAGCTCTTCCCAAACGGAGCCTTGGGGATTGTGTCAGCAGAAAGTGATACCTGTGTTTGTATAAAAGAGAAAGGTTAATGGATATTTTCATACAACTAACTGTCAGGTCAATTGTGGGGACTGGGGATGATATTCTCATCCATGCCACATTTGTTGATCAATTCAATTTTTTTGCACGAATTGGAAGGCATACACGCATTTGTAAAATACATTGAATCTTTTGCTTTTTATTTTTATTTTTTGGCTCTTAAGTTCTTGAAACTGACAACTGGAAAAAAAAAAGAAAGGGGAAGTTATTGATAGTACTTCTCTTGCATTGTAAATGTTTTGTTGGGCTCATCATCACTAATGAACTTAAAACTCATTTTCTTTTACATTTCCTTTGCCTCTGAAATCTTAAGGGTTTTATTTTTATTTTTTAAATAGTTATGAATTTTATGGTTTCTGGCTTGCTTGAAATGTGGTACTTCTGGATGCCAATTCACTTACTTGGTTAAGCATTTGTTTTTTTAATCATAGGGGAGTTCCAAAGTTGATATTTCCCCACTCACACACTCATAAATTTTCTATGCTTTTTTTTTGCCCTTTCGTCTTTTTTCTTGTCTTTTTATGAAATTACATTGACATGCTCTCCGTAATGTTGCATCATTGCATCCAACCTTGTGCCTTGTGCATAATCTGAATTCTTATTGCAGGACTGGACAGGTTTGAACTTTAGAGAGATTATGGAGGATGTTGAGAAGATCAAAGGCACGGTATATATGTAACAGTCATTTAGAAAATTTGTGATTGATATTTCTTCTGGCCACTACTAAGTGCTGAACTTTTTACACTGCTTTTTATTGTTGCATGTCCAATTATCTCAAGTAAATTTGACAATGGGTTGGGTGGCTTGTCTTATTTAATCATCCCAGAAAACACTTCTGAAGAGGAATCATTTCAGGGTTGCACATGTGTTGAAACCTCACATCTAGGATCCCTTCGAAGCACTCAAGATGTGGACATAATCTTTCACTTAATTTTTAGTGTCTAAAAAAGCCAGCATGCAGCTGTCATTCTTTGGATGCACAATGGAATGTATAGGGCGTGATATTCCATTCAATTTAGAAACAGATATAGTTGCAGGATAAGTTATAATAGTTATATGCAAATTATAAATGACTTCAGTTATTTGGGCATAACTACAATAGGCATGCCTGGCTATTTTTGGCCTGCTAGATTTTTTATCCAGCTTAGGCTGTGGAAGTACAATTTGGCTAGTCTTTTTATTTACAATGAGGCAAAGGCAAAGATAGTGCCACCACATTCAGTGCATTAGCCCTGCCCACCCTGGCAACGCTTAATAGTTTAATGTTGTGCATACAAGATGATCAAATCCTATATATTGGTTACACAGGAATAGAGTTCACCAATTCTGACGTGTTTATTTTCAGGGAAACAGGCTCTTCAAAGAAGAAAAGTTTGAACTTGCGAAGGCAAAGTATGAGAAGGCATGTTTTTTTTCTTTGCGTTTTCACCTTTTCTTTCTATGTAAATCTGGAACACAAACTGTTTTGTCTCAGGTTTTTACTCGGTAGTATTTGTAAAAATGGATTTTACATTAATGTTTAGTGTGAATCTCTTCTCCTAAGATCAAGCAATTTGCTGCGCTCTTTATATTATAAAATTTGAAATTTCATACAAGCACTATGTCATTTAGCTATGATCCCACATTTCATAGCACCATTAAAGGAATCTGGGGCTCACTAGGCAGTTGTTGGATTGCTAACTGAAGTTTGTATCCGTTGTCACTTGGAGATCTGTTTCTGTGGCAGCAATCTGTAAGAAGGCCTGTAATTTAATGATCCTGTTGCTGCTCTATCTTTCAATGTTTTGTAAGATAATTGTTGCTTGTGAATGTGACCTGAACATCTCTTATTGTGAACTGAAATTACAAACCTGGCTTTAGCATTCTGTGCTAGTAATATTACTATGCAGATTTCTTCTTATGGAGTTTAAGATATAATGTAAGTTGCGAGGAGATATAAACTGTGGCAATTGCTCTACAGGTGCTTCGTGAGTTTAATCATGTTAATCCACAAGATGATGAGGAAGGAAAAGAGTTTTCGAATACAAGAGTAAGTGTTTATAAAGTGATACATGAAAATTATTAGTATTATTATTGTTTTAGGGTGTTAAAGTGAGTTGTTATTTAATCACACATTCTCACCATAACCACCTATCTCTTATGTCAGATAGCATAGTTTTCTTATATATTGACCTTTTTGCTTTTGGTTGCTTGAAGAATCTATTACATTTAAACGTGGCCGCATGCTTTCTTAAAATGGGAGAATGCAAAAAGTGCATTGAAGCATGTAATAAGGTATGTTTCGTGACTCAATTATAGTTGTAGGCTCTGTTGATTTCTCTATCAGATTATATTTCTGAATATGGATTTTGACAAAATATTTGCAGGTATTGGATACAAACCCTATTCATGTGAAAGCTCTTTATCGTCGTGGAATGGCCTATATGTCAGCTGGAGATTTTGATGAAGCAAGAAATGATTTTAACAAGGTAACATTTTATTTATGTTGACGGTTAAATAACAAATTATTGTCAATAGGCATGTTCTAAATTCAATTCTGGGTGACAATAGATGATGAGCGTTGACAAGTCATCCGAATCCGATGCAAGGGCAGCCCTTCTTAAACTGAAACAAAAAGAGCAGGTTAGTTCAACAATAATGAATTTTCACTACTCTATTCTAGATGGAGTGGAAGAGCTTTATGAATTGTGATTGCATAACCCATGACAAACAGGAAGTTGAGAGGAAAGCCCGGAAACAGTTTAAAGGACTGTTTGACAAGAAGCCTGGGGAAATTTCTGAAGTCGGAACCATTGATAGGGAAGAGGATCAGGTTTCAGGAGAAAGTCATGAGAAAGGTGATCAAGATGCTCGAGATGGGGATAATGAGGAGCAACATCATGAGCCTCCTCGTGTGAGTTTCATGTCGCAGTTGTGGCCTACTGGTAGAAGACTATTCAGAGCACTTGGGCTAGAAAGATGTACCATACTATGAGTTTCCAGTCTAATTAATGTTACAGAAATAGAGGCACCTAGCCCTTAACATTTTTCCAATTGTTCCAATTAGAAGAATATGAATAACAGTGTAATCCTACCCCTTGTTGCTGGAGAGAGAGAGAGAGAGAGAGAGAGAGAGAGAGAGAGGTTGATTTTGTTGGAAAAAAGGATTTGTACACAAATTTTTACAAGAAATTCTACCAAAATGATGTGGTTATGACATTTTTAAAATAATAAGTCACCTTGATGGAGTGTTGTGTTGTTATTTTGTTCTCACTTTGGTGCCTTCATGACTTGTATAATCTAACATTCGGCATTTTATTAAAATTTGAAGGATATTGAAGCATTGAAAGCATGGTTTGGAAAATCTGGTCGGTTCGACCGGTTGAACCGTCAACTGGTCGGGGTTCCGGTTCGAATATACCTTCTAAATCGTTTAAAACTAAAAACCGGCCTATTTAGAGAGAACTGAGAAAATCGACGGTTGAACCGGCGAACCGGTCGATCCGAATACGGTTCGTCAGATTGTTGAAATTGAAAATTTTGATTTTTTTTTTATTTCTTCTAACTTTTTTTTTTTTATAAATATTCTCTCTCTTTTCTTTCTTATTATATATATATATACTAGTGTATGTTCGTGCCTAAAGGCACGGTGTAAATAATGTTAAGGTCAAAATATAATTGTAATTTATACGTATCATGTTGAAATTTTTATGAAATTTGTGTCATTTTTTTATAAAGATACCTGAAAAAAATATATTTAAATATTTTTCTTCTTAAAGAACTTATAATAATTTTATTTGTATTACACGTTTTACAAAACTCAAATATAAAAACAACTCCCCCTAACCTCAATGCAAATTCAGAAACAAACGCATTTGAGGGAAATTTAAAGGTGAAAAAACAATCTCTCACCAATTGATCTTAGAAAGAAATAATCAATTATACCAAACTATTCAAGATACTTTAAAAAAGTGCCTTCTTAATCTTAACCGTATGAAATTTGATAATGTTTAAAATTGATCTTGACCATCTAAAATGTTACATAGATAACTGTTCAATCTTTCTACTTGGACAATGATACAAAGTACATAACATTGTAATAATAATGATTCCTAAATTTCAGAAATTCAAAAAGCTTCACAGTTCAAGTAATGACGAAACAGAGTATATTAATGCAACATCATCATGATTATCACCACCTTACTCTTGCTTCCATTGGCTTGTGAGAAATTAATGCAAATTGTGAAAGTTTGGTTAGTAACTTGGTAGGTAGAAAGTAGCATGCTACATAATATTACAAACTCAAAAAAAAAGAAGAAAAAAAAAAGAGAATTGATCTGATCTAGCATGGTACATGATTGTAGGTCGAGATATCCATTACACAATATAATAACTACAAACTCTTTTGCAAATGCCAACGTCACTGCTTAAAGCAATGCAACTATTATGGTCAATTGAAAACTGTCATTCCACGTTTAACTATTATGGTCAATTGAAGCCAGTCTGCACTATTAAAGTCGATAAATGAAGAGAAAGAAAACAATAGCAGAGAGTGAAATTGAGAATGACACTGAATCATACAAACCTCCAGACTTTAGCTGCGCAAAAACCTATTGCAGTGAAAACATCATGCTTGATACAATAAGAAAAAGAAAACAACCAAAGAAAAACAGAATTCAATAGTAAAACCATGATATAAAACCTTGAGAGTATCTGTGTATTTTTTCCTAATGCAAGAGTTTAGGTTATTCCTACACTCTTCTAACTCATTGAGAGTATTGTTTAATGGAAACCCAAAAAAGGAATGTGAGACATGTATTTCATAGAAAAGAAAAGTTACATTATTAATTGGAACATGATTAAAAGTTATAATGGATAAGAATTTTTTAGATTGTAAACCGACACATAATTAAATTCAAAAAGAAATTAAAGTTTACCTTGTGTTTAATATTCATTTTTGGATGAATATGTTGCTTTGAGTTCCCGTCAAGAAAACAAACCAGTTGGAAACATTGTTATTTATAAAGGTTAAAAAATACAAAATAAATATAAAAGATAGACAAAAAACAATATAATATTTTGAATCAGATCAAAAAATATACATGATTCCTTAGCCAGAAAATTCAAATCATATCAAATAAAACCTCCAACAAAGCTCAATAATTAAATCATGAATTTACCTTTACAACTATGACTCATGCCTTAATCTGGAAGTGCTCACACTGGTAAATAAAAAAAATTACAAACTTCAATCAATGTGAGTTTTTCCAAAGAAAATGAGCATCAAAACTAACATCCTAAAAAGCAATCTATAAAGGACATGGAAAAAAATTTCAAAACAACAAATATGAAGGTTGATAGAGTTTAACAATTAAATAAATCCTAGTTCTGCTACATCAATGGAAAGAGTGTCTCAACTTTGTAAAATATAATATTAACACCTAAGCTCAATTTCGTTCAGTCAGTCAATTTTATTTATTTTATTTACTTTTAACAAAAAATAAAAAAAAAATAAAACAAAGAAGACCATGAATTACTCCTCAAGAAAATAACATAACATCCACACAAAGATAAAGAATTATATGCCTAGAATCAAACCATGACAAAATTGGACTTTCAGCATGTTTAACTAATAAAGATTAAAACACATCAACATGTTTTGTAGACCAAAAGAGAAATAGTTGTATAACCTAATTAGCATAATTCACAAATCTAAAAGTAAATATTAGAAATCCAATACACAAATTGAAGGAAAAAAGAAAAAGAAATCTCCCTTAAATTAGCAAAAACTTTAGTCTTCCCTAGGGATCGGTTAGTGCCTTGTTGATTTTTTATTATTTATTTTTTCAAACTCTTCACAGACCTTTTAATTCCCACAACACTGTTCAGATTCCATAAAAAAATAGGAGTATGATGCTTTATTGATCATGACTCACATCAGCTTATAACTTTTGGGTATATCACTTGCATAAGATAAATGAAATTTTACAATGTTTTCTTGCCTACATAATACTGCTATTGAGGGAAATTATCTCTGGCAATCTCAATTTGGAGTTCAGCCTTCATGTCATGTACTTCTCAAAGTAGTTTTTAGTTTTTCTATGTAGAAATAATTTACAAAGTATATGAAGCTCAACTATTCATAAACTTTAGGGGTGTGAAAAATTAGGGCTTTCTGCTATATGAGAACAATAATTAGATTAAGTAAAATCATGCGAATGCAGTTAAAAATCTTGATCAAATTGAAGCACATATATAAGTAAATGTGTGTACCCTTTGCAATGTTGCATGAGTCTAAGATGGTGGCTGTGCGATGGTTGAGATAGGGAGTGGGGTTGCTGCAGTTGTTGCGATCGAGATGATGACAAAGGGTCACTAAGGAGGGAGGAGCAGAGACGATTGTGAGGAGTGTGGGTGTCTACGAAAAGGAAGAGGCAAATTTGCTGTTGTGGTCGTGGTAGAGAATTCTGTGTACATCAGCATGTTTTGTAGACCAAAAGAGAAATAGTTATATAACCTAATCAGCATAATCCACAATTCTAAAAGTAAATATTTGTAATCCAATACACAAACTAAAGGAAAAAAGAAAAAGAAGAAAAATAAATCTCTCTAGGAAAAAAGAAAAAGTAATCTCTCTAAGAAAAAGAAAGCCCTAATTTAAGTGTAGAAGATGGGGCGAAAATGGCCAAATAATGTTTCATAGTAGCAAAAGCAAAACAATTCCAAACCAAAAATTAGTATGTGAACACAGTTTACAAACCAAACCAATATAATGGACTCATATAATTTCCTAAAATCAGAATAAAATTCCAGATCAATATGAAGGACTCACAAATGTCAATGAAATGCCACTGCAAAAATAACATATGCCAATGAACAGCCATCTAAACTACAAAACAATGGAGAATTGGACAAAAATTTCAAACCAATATGATACGCCACTGTAAACTACAAAACCATGGAGAATGTAAACAACAAATCCAAACGGTTCATTTCCTCTTTTAGAATTCAAACAACATACAACAAAAAATCCAAATAACTTCTTCCCTTTCTTAGAAAAAGGGAAAAACACAACAGCGACCAAGAGGGAGCTGAAGGAAATTCAACCTAAAACATAACCAGACAAAGAACTGATTTAAGACAGAGAAAGGGAAAATTGAAAACCACAACCAGAAAATTGGAAACCAATTCATATACATAGATTGATTCAAAAATTTGCCCTAAAACTGAAGCCTCAAAGAATTGAAGAACTGAAGAAACAAAATAACTCTGATGTTGGGAGGGTGGGAGCCGAGGGAGGGTGGACAGTCGCAAAGATTGTTGTTGATCAATGGCGAGGGTATTTCTTTCCTGTTGAAACCACCGTCTCTGTTGGAATTTCTGCCATAGTTTTAATTAGGCAACCACCAAACAATAAACCATGAAACACAAAATAAAGCTTAACACATATATATACTAGAAGTATAAATGATGATAAATGAAAACATCGATTTAAACCATTATAGACCTCAATTTCACCAACAAACGACAATTTATCCAACTAAAACTTGAAGTATAGAGAGAGACAGGGAGAGAGGTACTGGAGAGCTCCCATGGGGGTTTGAAGCAGAGAGAGAAAGAGAAGACGGAGGCGTTAATGTAGAATTCAAGGAAGTTGATGATGATGACGGTGGCTGTGGTGGTGGTGCCAATCGAAGCACAGTTTCATGGTTTTCAATCGAAAACCCTAGCCTTTGGAACTAACCAACAAAACCAAAACAACAGTTTCGCGGTTCTCAATTGGAAACCCTAGCCTTCAGAACCAACCAATAAAACTAAAACACTGAAGCGAGGAGAGGCAGTAAATGGATTTAAGAGCAGGGAGTGGGAGGGTTGTGACTTGAAGCCATTGAGAGAGAAGTGTGGGAGGGGGAGAGCGACAAAAATCGAGTGAGAGAGAAAGAGAGAGGCAACGTTGGGAGCGAACGAAGATGGAGGGTATGAAAGAAGAAGAACAAAGAAGGAGAGAGAGAGAGAGAGAGAGAGAGAGAGAGAGAGAATGAGGGAATGGGGATGAGACGTGTAATAGAGAGGGAGAGAGAGATAAAAGAGGGAGGAGACGTGGGTGTGTGGGAGAGAGAGAGAGCATAGAGTGTTTGGGCGAGAATCAAAGCATCATCTGTGTTAGGACCCTACTTATTGTCAATTTCGTGAACAAACTTGGGTTTCATTGAGTTGTAATTTTCTTCTGTTTTTGGTCATCCTGCTCGAGCGGGGAACGTGGCGCTCGAATG